CCGTCACACCTGGGGCTTGCTGGCGATGCGCTGGCGATATTCAGCTTGAGCAAGTTCGACACGTCGCTCTTCCTCTGCCAGTCGCTGTCGCTCCAGGTCACGCCGCATCTCGGGTGTCATATCATCCTGGTCTTCCTGAGCTCGCCCGTCATCACTTCGCCCGTCGGTGGCCTCGGAACCCGCAATGGGGGTCAGATCGCGGCGGTCGTGTTCCTTGAGAGGAGACGGAGTCCGAATTGCCGGCGTCGAATGTTTGCCCTCGAAAATCTTGAAAGCGTCTCCGAACTTGCCAGCAAGGATGTTTCGAGAGCCGGAGGTCGAGCTGACACTGCTCTTCTTTCCGTGCCACGAGCCTCGATCTTTCTTTGCGTCCTCCATGCTGCGCAAGAATTCGACGTTTGATTCGATGTTAGTCTCATCCTCCGGCCCAAGGCTAATCAGCGCGGGAGAAGACGATTTATCGGCAGGCCGTTCTGGTAACCTGGGCGAAGGGATACTTGGCGATCCACTTGGCTTGGAAGCCATTTGCCGCTCGCGGAGGTAATCTATACTAGATTCAAGGTGTGTGCTGGCCGGACGTTGGCGTCCGATCGCCATTCTTGGCTGTAAAGATGTTCCCAGATGGTCTGCGCTGGGGCGACCCCCTTCTAATGATGGGCGAGATGACGAAGGATGGCGCGTGTGAGATTGATAAGAGTTTTGACGAGACAGTGGCCCCGAAGAAATTCCACCCTCACGGAACTCTACACGATGACTGTCGTCGGGTTTACGTGGTAGACTTGTAGATCGATGGTGATCGGTAGATGGTACTCGCCAGATCGCTGGTGGCTCCCGCGCCTTGTCGGATGGCGGTGGTGTAGATGTCATGGTACCAGTTGAAACATACTTCTGTGTGGATTGCGAGGAGATTGCTCGCAGTTCTGGATTTTGAGTTATGATCGCTGATGCTCGGCTCATCTCAGACGGCTTCGGTGGAGCAGATGCTGTTTTCTTCAAGCTGACTGTAGCTGTAGCAGGATATTCGACACTGGCAGGAGGTTGCGTAAGCGAAACCGGTTGTGCTATGGTGTGCGAGCGTGTCGACTCTGACGCTTCAGGGGGGCTGGAGGGCTTTGCGAAAGCCTCGTCCGCCAGGTGTTCAGTAACCTTCTGTTTGAGATCACTCTGCTGTGCAGCCGGGGGTGTTGCCGGAGAGGTGAAGTCAAAGCTCCCTCCACCGTTGTTGTGAAGAAGGGAAAATTGATCAAGCGTGGGAAAGCGAGACGAAAGCTCGTCGCCTGCCCCGGTGTTGTTGTTCGCTTTGGCGTCGAGAGCAGCGAATGGATCGCCGCTGGTGACACGACCAGGCGATGGACTTGGTCGTTGAGACTGAGAGGCTGATTGCGTAGAGGCAACCGGAAGCCTGCCCCTCCTCATAGGAACCACCTCGGGGATCGTTTGCGTCTCTTGCGGCGGTGGGGAGAAGACAGCGCCAACAACTGGAGGCGTTGACTTTTCCAGCTGCGGTTTGTCGCTGCGTCGAGGCTCAGATTGCGCCCTGGCGGCGTAGATCTGTATTGCATTGGTAAGTGTAGATACATGGGAGATAGAAATTGACATACATCATGTATCGGAACCTCGCGGCCTTGCATGGCGCAAGCCTCTCGTAATACCTGATAGACGTTGGGCCTCGACTGCTGGTTTTCCCGCAACATAGAAGCTAGTCTTCGGTGAGTTACGATTCCTTGCGTACCGATATGACCATACCTATGAGCTTTTTCAGCCTGTCAGAGAAGACTGGGTGACTATGAAACCGAAAGCTTGCGTTCAAGATGGCCAATTGGCCTTGGTCCTCGAAGGGGGTCGTGTAGTAGCACAGCTTATACAGCAAGACACCGAGGGCCCAGATATCCGACTTTTCGTCAATGGGTTGTTTTCTGTAGACGTCAATCATCTCCGGGCTCCGGTATTGCAGGGTTGTGTGCTTCTGCACATCCTCGTCCAGGAGCCTGCACTCGACAACCGTCTGGGGCGCGGGTTTTGGAGGTGCTGCTGAACCGAAATCGCAAAGTTTGAACCTCTTCTTGGACCCCTGGCTCAGAATCAAGACGTTTTCTACTTTGAGATCGCGATGCAAAAGCGGAGGTTTTAGGTAGTGCATGCAGGCAACTCCCTCCGCCACGTCGGTGAAGATGTGGAGGATCTCGGGCTCGGTCAACCGGTGTTGGAGCCGGGTGTTCATGAAGTCGATCAAGCCACCGCCATTGCAGTACTCCATGAGGAGAAAAACCTCGAAGCCACCACCTCGAAGCTCAGAGGCGTGCGAGTCGATATATGTGACGATCATGCGGTGACCCTTGAGCCTTTTCATCGTCTCGACCTCGATGCGCATGGAGCGAAGCGCCTCCTTGTCAGGCACAGCAACCCGCTTGAGGACAGCCAGGTCCGTACCGTCGAGAGGCTTGGGGAGCTTGACAAGATAGACATGGGCAAAGCCACCTTCGGAGAGATATTTCTGTATGACGACGCGATGGGAGCCGACCTGAATCTTGGTACCAGGGGCGAAGGTACCAGCTGGGGCTGCTGAGGCGTGTCCTGGCACGGGAACTGGGTAGTTGGCAGGTTGCGCTGGTCGGGGTGCAGCTGCGGCCGCGTGATGGCCGTAGGAGGCCATTGCGGTGGCAGGCAGCAAGCTCGTCGCAGGAGGCAGAGGTTTGACAAGTGTCGTATCGATCGATCAATCGAGGTGATGCGATGTGCTGGAGGGAGGCTCGAGGAGGGGTCTCATGCGAGTTCGGAGATGGGTGAAACTGGGATGTGATGTGTAGCTACAACACGGTAAACAGCCACAATGGGTTCGTTGGACTACCGGCAAGGCATTTTCGAAATGAAAGGAGCAGTATCTTGGTGTCCAATAACTGATGGAGCGGCGTGGGAAGTCAAGATCCGTTGAACTGGGAAATCCCAAGATGGCGCATACGTAGGTCTGTCCATAAACATTGGCCAGAGCAGCCAAGGTAAGGTACGTTGCGGTGCACGGTCTTGCTAGGCAGTGCCCCCGAGTCCTTGAGGGGGCGGGTGAACGGCCTACAAGCGACCAACCAGTCAGCTCCATAGCGCCCTCTCCAGGCAGGAAGGCAGTGCTGCTGCCATTCTGGTGTAGCCGCCACAGTGGGACACCTTTATTCGATATAGAGGTACTTTGCATATTCCCCCCCCCTAATTCAACATGTGCTATTTCGAAGCTAAACCCATCCGCCCCGCTTGAATCCCGCCTTGTCCTTTTTGAGGCTGAGGATGGATTTCTTATCGATTAGATAAAGCTGGTAAATTTTCTTTTCGGAAAGTTGATTTCGATGCAGACCTACGAACAGGGCCCTCCCTCATCCTTATACTGCAGACGAGACTTTGCAGCTACACCACAGACAACTGTACAATCGTCTCCGAAATGGCGAAACGAAAGATCTCAGAGGTCGCTGCCGCCAGTGTACGGGTCAGCGAGACGAAGCCGACAAAGAAGACGAAGCCGGCCATCCCACCAAAGCCCCAGACGCAACCCAAGAGGGCAATCGCGGACGAAGAATTCTTCCTCCAGATTGTCACCGGTTCCTACGACAGAGTTCTCCACGGCCTCATTGCTACTGTCAAGCCCCAGGGCCAGGCAAGCTTTGTTGACACGTTCCTGTTCACGGCGCATCCATCGGCAATCCGCTGTGTCGCCCTGTCTGCCCCCTCGGCCCCCATTCCTGGCCAGGAGCAAAAGGTGCTGCTGGCGTCTGGGAGCACCGACCCCAAGATCAACATTTACAACATCTCCGCTCACCCTCCCAAGCGGCGAGATGGGGACGAAATGGCGTCAGCTGCTCTCCGCCCCATTCTCGAGAACTCGAAGAACCGCGAGCTAGGCGCCTACAACCCCCACGACTCAACCGTCACCAAACTTGTGTTCCCCACGCGCTCCAAACTCATCTCGGCCAGCGAGGATTCGACAATTGCCGTTGCCAAGACGAGGAATTGGGAGCCCATGAGCACCATCAAGGCACCAATACCGAAGGCGCAGGGCAGGCCCAGCGGCGACACGGCTCCCCTTGGCGGCACCCCCGCCGGTGTCAACGACTTCGCCGTGCACCCGAGCATGAAGTTACTCATCAGTGTCAGCAAAGGAGAGCGATGCATGCGGCTGTGGAACCTCTTGACCGGAAAGAAGGCTGCAGTCCTCAACTTCAGCAGAGACCTGCTGCAGGACGTCGGCGAGGGCAGGCATTCGTCCGGTGAGGGGAGGAAGGTGGTTTGGGGCGCGGCCGTCGGCGGGCAGGACTGCGAGGAGTTTGCCGTGGGATTCGACCGCAACATTGCCGTGTTCGGTATGGACAGCCTGCCCCGTTGCCGGGTCCTGCCGGACTCTCGCATCAAGATTCACAACTTTGAGTACGTCGCCATGAGCGATGAGAGCGAGTCGTCTCTGATTGCTGTGGCCACTGAGGATGGGCGCATAGTCATCTGTTCGACCAAGGACGCCGACTTGACGCAACCTGAAAAGACTGCGGATGCGAAGGTGAAGGAACTGCCGACGGCGAAGTTGGTCGCTCAGATCGGCGGCAAGGAAGCAGGCGTCACAGGACGGGTCAAGGACTTCAACATCATCAAGAGGGAGGAGACACAGGGTGCTGTCTTCTATCTCGTCTGCGGTAGCAGTGACGGGAATATTCGTCTTTGGAAAGTGTCAGAAAAGGAGCTCAAGGCGAGCGAGGCAGCAGACAAGACGATGCAGCTGGGCTCGCTCGTGGGAAGCTACGACACGAACAACAGGATCACATGTACCGCGGCCTTTGCCATGATACCCCGACCGGACGATGTCGTGGACAGCGATGAGGAATTGATGCAGGAGCTCGAGAAGGAAGACACGGCAGAAAGCGATGAGGAAGAAGCCTGATGCAGAAAGGCATGAAATAGATCTGATACCCAGAATGATTCTAAAGCTGTGACGGGCCGAGATAGAACGTTGAGGTGATGTTCATCCGGAGCCTCAACACAAAGACACATGGATTGGCTCACGGGGTGCAGATATGCACCTCCGTACCGTTCGGGCTTCCCCAACTCCTCCCTCGCATTTCTTATTCGGCAGTGTGGGGTAACAATAGCTGGGCGCGACAAATCAAGGTGCCAAAGAAGTCTGTTCTGGACCGCTTTGGACCAGTCATGTAGGAAGAAACGCCTCGGGATAATGTTAGCGCTTGTGATGTAGCATTGCAGAAATCCGTGGGCCAGTGGGTGCTCGCCGCAAGACATGGTTCCTCACTACCTGCACGAATTCCACGTACGTTGCTGTTCGCCGTTCGCCAGACCGTCTTGACGATCCCATCCCGAACGGGGGATGGAAAGACTGCGGGAGCATGTGATTGAAGCTCATGCGACTAATGCACCCAGCTCCAAATCCAGCGCCTCTCACTGGACGGCCCTTCGTGTTTGCTGGGGACCATGCTCCGTAGCTCCCAATGCCTTGTCGCCCGTCTGGTCACGCTTCAGCCCTCTCTGCCTCGATCGTTTCTCTCGTCCTCCACAAGTTCACTACCTTACCTTCAGCTTCCCCTCTCTCCAGATCCGTGTGACAGATGCGACGGAGCGGCGCAGAACAGTCTCTGCTTGCGCACAGTTCGACAACGTTTAAGACCACAAACCTCAGCCTCACTCGCTAAACGATGTGAAATTTCGTATCTGCCTACACCCCTCCACATTCGAAGGCTCCGAAGCTTGCACGTGCTGCATCTCTTCCCCTCACGAGTTCCACGTCGAAATCAAGGTTTATCCAATTCAAGACACACCTTCAATCGTATAGGCAACTGATCCTCAACAATTTCTTACTATTTTTTTACCGCTTCTCTTCACGAACGTTGTCGATCTATTCTCTCGCCATTTCCAGAACCATCTACGCGAACAGCTTCCTCTCGACCCGCTATCGATCGCAACGCGCCCTCTCGAATCCTCCAAACCATGTCTGAAGACGGGCCCCCTCTCCTAAGGCCCATCCCTCGACGCCCGTTCGACATTAACTTTACGAGCCCGACACCCCCTCTGATGGCGTGTCCAGCTCGCCCAATACAGCCCCAGGACATAATTAGAAACGTCGAACCCTGTCTCCACAACAAGCACAACGACTACGAAGCGGCTATCCCCTTTGAGAGTCGGGAGACATCAATCAGCCGAACCACAGTTCATAGAGAACTTGACTACATCAAACTCTATTCGGCATAACTCACCCTCGTCCACCGGGCAAGGACCGCTCAATCCGTCCGGACCTCGAGACACCGTGGGGGACAGGGTCGCAGACCCCCGTGAAGAGGCAGAGTCTAGACGATACAACGTTTGAGCTGTTAAAGGAGAGGTTCCACCCGCAGGCGCTGCGAAGGCGGTCCTCACGACCTACGCCTCCAGCGCCATCCACTGCTGCATCGGCACTCTATATTACGGCCAGGGTCGCTGTGCTCTTCTTGCTGGGCATGGGCTACGGCGCTCTAGTGACGAGACTACACGGCAAGCATCAATTGACCGCCTTGCCGGCCGACGGGACCAGCGGGCCTGGTTTCAACTGGAAATACCTGACGCTGTGGGGCATCTGCGGCGTTCTCCTCGGTGCTCTGCTGCCCTGGTTCGATGGCGTTTGGGAGGAAGCGTTCGGTGGTGACATGGCCGTGGTCGATGGTGAGCGGGATGAGACGTCGGACAACGCCAACAGATCAAGTACGGACTGGGCTCTCGGGGTCCGGAGCATCGGAGCCTTTGTGGGCATAGTCTTTGCCATTGTTCGTTCAACCCCCGGCCACGCTTTACTTACGGACGTTGCAAGCTAACAATTCATGCAGCGTCGTCTTCCGTGGGCGTCGACACTGCAGCTCTCGCTCACGCTGGCCCTCGTCAATCCCTTCTTGTGGTACTTGATTGACCGCTCCAAACCGGGCTTTCTGCTCTCCGCCGCAGTGGGCCTGATCGGTTCTGCCGTGCTGACGGGCGTTGACCCTGAGATGGTGCCCACGCCGTCGGCATCGTCGTTTCGGAACGAGACAGTCTCGGATTCCCTCACTTTTGGCGGCCTTGCCAGTCAAAAGACGATGGAGACGGGAATCTGGATGCTGAGCGTCCTATTCTGTAGCTGCGTGTGCTTCGGCAACATTGGCCGCAGACTCGCCTTGAGCAAGCCGTATGCTGCCCGGGGACGATGTGCTTAGCGCAAGCTTAGACAACATGAGAGGGCGCGTCTGAGTTGCTTGCTTCGCATCCTGCTTGGTTGCATGGCGGTTCGGGTAAAATTGGTGTGGTTTTCCTGAGAGAAGGATTGGATGAGGAGGTGTACTGTCTGGGATAGTCAAGATTGTTGTGTAACGGATACCCACGAGGCTCGAGGTTGAATAAAGTGGACATAGGGGTGTCTTCAGCACACCAACAGGCCAACATTTCTGCTGCAAGCAAGTGTGACATCTCTGCGGCACTTACCACGGCAAACCGCCACAATTCACTTTCATGACGGCTAGTATGATGCGAGTAACAGCTACGATCGATGGGTGTGCGTAGGACGCATCGCACGGAATTGGTGTTTTGGATTCATCATGTTGGATATTTTAGGAAACATGATAGATGATGCGGCGTTCATTTACTGGAAGCAGAATACAGGTGCGTGGTAGATATGACAAAGAAAAATACCCGCCGAGAGGCAATGCAGACGATATTTCTTGTGGCAAGACCTGCCGCTTTGTAGGGTAAGAGCTTACACGGCAAGGCTGCCAATGTAGTAGTGCTGTCCGACCATGATTGAATCGGAGCGCCTTGTCAAGACTGAAGATGGCGGTCCCGGCCCTTGCAACTGGGTGAGATCAGATCCTACTCGGCTCATGGACGGCGCTGCGAATGGCAGGATATGAAGGTCGTCACCAGTGAGTCGAGTATGGCAATGACGGGACCCGCCACTGCAAACCCGGGTTTCCTGCTAGTGAGAGCAGCAATGTGAAGGAGGTCGGGACTACTGGTCAGACAACCTACTGGATAGGTCATTCGGAGATCTCTGGATCTACAGATCTCCTACCAGGGATCTGTTGAGGCGCCTGCGGCCGCCCAAAGAAACTCAGCTTGTCTGAATAAAGGGCCCAGGCAAGACTTTGGCCCGCACCGGGAGCGAACCCGGACGGGTGCAAACCGCACTTGGATGTGGTTGACAGAATCGTAAATGCATCGAGAGATCCCTTTTTCGTGCCTCAGGTCTGTCAAGGGCGCAGTCTGTGTCAGCGTATGCACCAGCCAGCAGCTGCGACTAGCGTCAGCTTTTATGACGCGTGGATATCAACCTCTGGAGACCCCTGGTGGCCTGTCTCGCATAGTGGGCGAATCAAGAGACGGTGCAGCTCTCCTCTTGTAGGACCCCGAATCGAGTCGTAGCCTGGCTGGCCTTGATGGCGCCGATGGGCAGGACGTTGTTCATCGGAAAGATCGTGGTAACGTGCCAGGATCGCTGTTGAAGAGGTCTGAATCGGGTCTCGGGCCTTTGTGAGGTGCGAGCGTGCTCTCCGTGTCCCGGACGAGGTGTGGATGCAGGCCCTTCTTCCTTCTTCCAGGAAGCGGACATGCTCTTCGACGGAGATGGTGACACCGTACTGTGTCGAACTACCTACCTTCATAGCACACGCTTCTGGATGCAGTTCAGTCCTTGGATGACAAACCAGGGCAATTGTCGTGTGGCCACTGTCGCAAGCAATTCCAAGTCATTCGAGATGGTGCTGCGTGGACGGGACTCATGACGTCATGACCTCGGGGATCAGTCACCTCTCAGCGCAAAGGGTTCTCTGCACACAGGGACCCTGAAAATCATGTCTGGCAGCCTCCTGTGACACGCATGCGCCGTGGCCGTCTGGCGTGGGCAACCGTTGAGCTGGGCGCCAGTTGGACGAAGGTAGGCACCCCAAGGTACAGCGAGGAAACCGGCCATTGCGTGATCTGCACGAGCAACTGTAAACCAGCTTTCCAATCACCAGCATTCTCCCGCTTCACCAAGAATGAAAATTGAGGAACCCGTTGGACACTAGGTACGTTTAGGGTCAACAGCCGCTGCAAGGCTGGGTTTTTCTTTCGCCGCGCCAGGGTGGGTGGAAGGGTACCAGGGTCCGGCCGCCCCAAATGTCACCCAGGCGGCAGTCTGCCTGCTGACACCTGCACCGGGAAAGTCTTCTGTGGCGCGGGTTTTGTGCCATACCTAAGGTAGGTAGGTACCTGGGTATGAGACCTACAGGTACCTACCTACCTACCTACCTGGGCAGAGCCCTGTCTGCTGGCTCACCAGTGTGGGCGAGTGCACGCGGGCGGCAGGCTGCTGGAAGGCTTCGCCCTGAACCAGTACCGAGTACGTTGGCGGGGCATGCTGGCTTCGGCCGACGCCTTCCCTCGTCGGGCCTGGTACCTCCAGGGTCACGGCTCCCAGTCTCGTTCGTCCAAGACCGATCCACTTGGCTTCGTTGACCTCATGCACTCCCCCGCAGGCCACTGTCGATTCGACAGCGCACAACCCACCCACCCGTCGCCAGAGTTGGTGCCCGCCCGCTATCGCACCAAGACCACACGCGCACCACGCACCCGACGCTTTTCAACCTGCTTTTAGCACCAGCACCCTCCTGATTGGCAAACCATCCTTTATGTATGACGACTCTTTACCCCTTGGAAGCGAATGCTTCCGCCTCGCAACCCTGCCCTTTGCCGCTGGTTGCTACTACCTGCCTCCCGGTCCCATCGGCACGCTGCCAGTGCTCCCTTCTTGATCATTCCACACCCTGTACATTGACAAGTCTCCCACGCCTCGAGCATCATGGGATCTGCTGCTCCTGGTGTAACCCTCATTGATCATCCCCCCGTCTCCCATACATGAACTCAACAGCCCCAGGCCAGCTCCGTCCATTCCTGGCTGCTCTTGCCTGTCTTCACAGGACGTGAAACCCCGCCGGAAAACGAACTTGCTCTCCCATTATATTTCCGCCTCTTTATACAACATACAACACCGACGTCTTGACTGGACGACGCCGGCAGTCCCTCCCCCTCCCAACAACAACATCAGGTCGAAGGACAGCAGTCCTTCTACGCCAACCCCTAGGGATCGACTCTGCTTTACACCGGCCAGGCTCCCGGAAACCCCTGCGCCGTCTGGCAGCGCCCTGCCTTGGCCGCCCCGCGCTGGCAGCGCGCCTATGTTCATGTCCTCCGAACGCCAGAAGCCTTCGAGAGTAGGCCGTCCGGACCTGACCTCCCATCCTGCCCACGAGCGACGGTGAAGAAGTCACATGAACCACCAGCAGCCCATCCTGGCCGACAGGTGCGCGCGTCATCGTCTGA